CATTTTAAAACTGATATGGAGTATACATTGTTGAGATAGTCCACTTGAGCAAGCCACTTGAAATATTTTTAAAAGGGTATTTGAGTGTCACGGAAGAATGTTTCTTTCCTTCTCATCCTTCATTTGAGAAAAAACTTACAAGAGCACATTCCCCCTCAAGGGCCAGCATACTGTAGTGCCAAAAAGCCGAATGTTATACGTGCTGCTCAGTTAATAACAAAAAGCTAAAAAGGACATACACTCATTAGATAGGCTTTGCTTGGACTTGCAGTGATTACCATTTCTTTCAACCCTGACTCAGGAGCAGGTAGCAGTGTGTCAGGGTCACCTTGTTGCACAATTTTGGAGGGTAACAGTGCCATTGTCTTCCTCCAGCACAAAGTCAATACTGTTTCGTGGAGTTGTCCCTACTGGTTCTCTTTAAATCCAGCAGTGTGTGGGCCAGCACTGGGTGTGGGCTTTTTTATTCACATAGTAATGCCATCACTACTGATTCTAACCACCTTTTGCAGCCTGCACATGAATCATAAAATAACTGCTAACTGCACGGAAAATGTCTTCTCCCATTGCAGGGGCTTTAAGCAATTAAATGGAACGAGGCGTTGTCCTGCGTTTTCCCCTCATATGTGTCCTACATAAAGGCTAAGAGCTAATTCATTCTCTGCATATAATAGATTCATCCAAACATAAAGCAATAGGGACCTCTTTTCTTGTGTCTTAGCATGAATAGTAGGTCCAAAAATGTCATTGGATGAAGGAATCCAGCCAAGCCTTGTCCCGATTTCTTCCAGGGGACAGTATCTTTTAACTCGAGGCCAGTCTTATAATGGCCTTGGCCACAATGTGACTGAGCTGTTTTGCTCCAAGGAGTATGAATTTGAAGGATACTTTAAGAGCTTTGGTCTGTCTCTTCACTGTCCTATCTAATTCGCCAATTTTGTATTGGAAAGCATTATGTTGTCCTTGTCCTGGAGAAACTCAAATGTTTAACAGTTGTACCACTTGGTTTTGTTTAAAATTAAGTGAAAATGTTGACTTTATATTCCTACTCTACAAAATTTCAGAATAGATAATACCCTGGGTGTTAGTCATACAATTGAACTTTCAGATATTCACACATTCATGCATTATTAGTTCATTCATTTTGGAAGTCAGGTTTCTGTAGGTATAATTTCCTTATAGTAAAATACACCTTCAGATATACATTTTGATTCTGCTGTGCACACATTTGAGGGAGAGAGAGGCTGTCGAAAACATACCACGTTAGCACACATAGCCCCTTATCCCAACACATACATGTTCACATGCATACTGAGTCCTGTTTCTTGTTTATAACATTATTTTGAGCTGCAGTAACTACACACCTATTTTCATCACCAACATTACACTCGGCAAATCACTTTTGAGCCGTTGATCTATTTATAAGAACTGTAGACATAAATCCACATAATAAAGATGGAAAAATGAAAATCAGGCAAATGTCAAAAGTAACACACAAATAAGGCAAAAAAAACCCCACTAGTCCAGTTAAGTGAACATCAGCAAAAATAACCTTTAAAAATATAATGGAATCCCTGTTGAAAACCACAATTATTTTCACATTTTAAACTTGTGAAAAAATACGCATAAATCTAGGTCATTTTTTCCTTGGAAACATCAAATCACTTCTAACTGCTGGTAGGACAGCACTTCAAGAAACACAATCATCAAATGCCAACCATGTTGAATGAATGAGTGAACTGAATTAAAAGATTCGGAGAAACAAGTTGCCAGGTTAATTCATGTCATAGTCCCAGTGAATGAACACAATCTTTCAAGAATTGAAAGATAAAGAATTTTCTATCCAAATGGAGTAGGCCATTGCAAACTGATGGAAGGGCTAACACATATCAGTAGAGAGTTACCAGTAAGGACACAAATATGGGATACGAGAAACTCCTTATTCTGAGCTAACTATTTAGGCAGGTTTTAAGAACTCTTCCGGATCATTCTTAACGGTTGAGTAAAACAGCAAAAAGAATGGCTACTTAGGAAGGAATATGTACATTTTTCTTACCTTAAGTGACAGAAAACAGTTGCCCTGTGAATTCTCTATTTCAGGCCACAAAATCTAGATGGACTTTTTGAGCAATGAGGCAGGGTCTTTTCAAGTGTACGAACATCCGTTTGTGGATGTCTTCCCAATGGGTTTCAGCCTCGGGCAAGTTCACTTTTGATTTGGTGATACCAAAAATGACAATGGAATGTTCTTGAGGTGAAAAGGTTTATACCCAACTTTATTCCCACGGTGGCAGGTCAAGCGCTAGAATCCCGTTCACTCAGAGTGAGTCTGCATGCAGCAAGCCGGTCTCTGCCCACACAGCCATCTCAGTCTCTGTCCCAGGCGCTACCACCACTCCAGCCTCTGCTCTCCTGCAGCTGTGCAGCCCAGGACACTGGGCAGAGCTCTTTATATAGAGTCAATAATAAACATATTGCCCACACGTGTGCAGTGGGCCAGCCGACCAGGGTCAGATGAGAATCCTGGCCATAGGATTTCATTTTCTCTACAGTGAACTTTTAGGTTGCTTCTATGTCTGTTTTTTCTTTTAATCTGATTACAGTTTGCAAAACACTGATTTATACTTTTTTATTAGCAACACTCACTGTCCGTGATTACTTGGAAGAGACAGTGCAACTATAGATATTTATTTCACAATCTGGTGCACTCTGTTTGACTTGGGATTTTTTTTCACCCACTCTGCAAGATTCAACCTCAGTACAAGTGAGGAGGTTATTTTGTTTCATCACCAAAACTCAGTTTCCTTGGGGTGCCCCTGAAGCAGCTTCCTAGGTCCTTAGCCTTGACTTTAGAGGCTTCAGACTGGCATTGTTCTAGAATGATTTCACCTGCAATGGTAGAAAGTTTAATTCACTGCAAAACAAATCGAGGCTGTTTTCCTGACATAACAGGAAGTCCACAGATAGGTGGTGATGGAGGTCAGTTCAGTGGGTCTACAATGCTGGGGCTCATTGCCCTCTGATTTTCTTGGTCTCAAGATTACAGCATGGCTGCTGCACCTCCAGGCAAATGTCATATTCAATAATGGCTGAAGACAGATGGGAAATGGGGGAATGCCAGCTCTACCTGTCACTTTTTAAAAAAGAAATCAAGAGCTTCCCAAGCACCAACTTGTCTCTTTGCTGGCTTCCACTTCTAACCCTTTGCTCCAAATTGTGTCTCATGGCCTTACCTGATGCAAGGGATGCGGGGAGATGAAGTGCTTAGCTTTCTAGTCTCTTCAGAGAGGAAGATCAGGAGAAGGGGCCTAGGAAAGTGTGTTTGGAGAGTCCAACTATAATGTCTACCAGGCTATCTACCACCATTATGTTGTTCTAAGGAAAGAAGAAAGAACACAACAGAATGGAAGGGAAAAGGAAAGAAAACAAGAGGAGAGAGACAAGAGAAAGAAATGGAAAGAAAAGGAAAAAGAGAAGAAAAGAGGGTTAAAGTTTAGTCCTGGCTCTGCCACTTCCTTGCTATTGGAAAGCTACAACTTTGGGGAAGTTATTTAATGTATCAGTGCCTCAGTTTTCTCATCTGTGAAGTGAAGATAGCAATAAAAACTATCCCATAGAGAAGCTGGTTTTTAGATAGAGATAAAATATGGTTTATTCAAAGAGCTAAGACCAACACCTGGCATATAGCAATCATTCAAGGCCACTACCACCACCCACTGCTATTTCTACTCCTGCTCATAATAATACTGCTATAGATCATCATCATTATTGCTGTATGTGAAAATATTTCCACTCAGGTAAGGCAGTCTATAAGCCACAAAATTTACAGACCTTTATAAATTCTCCCATCTCTTCCCTTTTAATCATTTGGTGACAGGACATTGTTGCAAACATTTAAAGAATTGCCTTTAACCTTGGGGTTTCAGTCATTCACTTGATGAACAATGATTTATGGAACACCTGCCCTGTGCCAGGCACTGTGCTGAATACTGAGAATATTATGGTCTCCAAAAATAGACAAGAGTCCCTGTCCATATAACATGTACGATCTAATTGTTGAGACAGTCATTAAATAATCATAAACATGACAGCATCCTTAAAACTGTGGTCAATTTTAAACACTGGGGTTTTCCTCTCTTAAGAACACCGATGTCTTTAAAAAGTCCATAAGTTGAGTAACTTTCAGACATCTGCAAAAGTCACTCTGAAACTCTGAAACAACTTGAAACTCTGCCTACTTTTGCATTAAGGGCGTTTTGAAAATTAATTCCTATACTTTGTTAGGAATGTATTTCTTTGTATGAGAACTCTATTTCTTGCAACTGGAAATTAATGTAAGATGTTGGCTGCCCTGGAATGGAACAACCAACCGTCTGAAATCATTTTGTGGTTTGATACTTCATTATTAGCCAGAGGAGTCTCCCCCATTCCCCTGCCCCCCAACCTCCTGCCACTGCAAATAGCAATTAGTTCAAGTAGAAAAGATTACAGCCAGGTGCACTGTTTGAAGTTTGGGATGTTTTTTTTCTCTTTTAGTTGTGGTGGGGATGGGAGTGGGGGTGGGTGTCAGGGAGGAGAAACCCTTTTTGTTAAGTATTTGCAGTCTGTGGGCAACCTGGTAATTCAACAGGCATCTGTGGAATCTTAGGGCATTGGGACCTTTTGTGTTTAACCATGGAGCTCTAACCTCAAGGGCGTTTGCTGTGGGTTGAAATGGGAGTTGTGAGGCTTATTCACTGATGTGCAAAATGACATGATCCTCTTAAGAGCTGGAATGAATTTCCTTAGATGAAAAGCAGGGACACAGTTGAGCTTAATATTTATAAAGCAATCCCAGAAACTGAATTATCTTTTTATCAACATATAAGATGTGACAGATAAATCTGTTTATCATCCCAAAAAAAGTATGCTTTTTTTATTACTTTTTTTTTAAAAAGTATGTTTGCATGATCACCTTTTTACATCCCCAAAAAGAAGATGGACAGACACCTGTAGCCTCTTATCTGGTTTTATTATTATTGTTGCTGTTGAGTTCTTTAGAATTCTTGGTACAAAAATTTACAGAAGTTTGAAACTTATCATTGAATTGAAAGAAATATATTGAATGATATTAGAGAGGTTTTCCCCCAGGATTCTAAAATTCTTCCAGGGTGTTATTTATTACATTGGTCCCCCAAACTCCACAGGCAGGACAGAGTGACCTCAAGCAATGAATCCTGAGCACAGAATGAAACGTGGGGTCAGTAGGCTCCGAATGGCTCTGCACAGAGCTAACTGGGGGCCTCAGTCTTCTTATTTATCAGGAAATGGAAACATCATCAGGCTTGCTTTGGTCTTGGCATCGTGAGAATGAAACAGAGGCAGTATCTGTTTTTCTCTAAAACAAAGCTCCTACTGCCCAGCTACCAGGAGAGCAATAGAACATCCCCTCCTGTGGAGCCACATATCCTTAGGCCTCCTTCTCTGGATTGAAATCTTTAGGGACAAGGTCTTACTGGTTTCTTGTTCAACCATAAATTTTGATCAGATGAAAAAGGCTTAAAAAAAAGTAGAAGGCAAGGTGATATAAAGAAATGTTTAGAAAAGTATGAAATCCACAACTTCCACATTGGCGACAAAGCACAAATTCATTCAAAACAGATGGTCACCCTCATAGCAACAGGATCTGCCCTCAGACGGTCCTTGGGTGCAAACCCAGCTCTGCCTCCTCAATTTCCTCACCTGGAAAGGGGACAATAATACCTAACTCACAGGGATGTTGTGAAAGTTAATTGAAATACTGTGTGTAAAACTTCTACACTCATTAGGAATAGGTTTAGCTGCCTATAACAAAAAGTCCGAAATAAAAACATCTTAATGGCACAAGGATTCATTTCCACATGAAAAAGATTTCAGGAGATAGCTGACTACAGCTGATACGTTGGTCTCGTGAAGTCCCAGGGAGCAAGGAGCTGCTATCTGTTGGTTCTGGCATCTTAGAGAGAGATTGCATCCTTCAAGGGACTCTCATGGTCCAAGATGGCTCCACTGTGAGTGTCAGAAATAGGGGAAAGGGCTTTCCTCATGTTGCCCATCTTTTAAGAAGCCAACATCTTTGTTCCAGGCCATTGGTTAGAGATGGGACATGTGGCCACACCCAAACCAGCAGAGACTGTGAAACATAGACTTGCCCATCATTACCGCAAAGAAATAAGGGTTCTATTTGTAAGGAAAGAGAACTTGGATGTTAGCAGGCAGCTGGCCGTCTCTGCCTTAGGACCTGGTGCAAAGCAAGTGGCCAGTTAATGAATAAGATTGCTGCTGCTGTCAGAGATGCATCAATAAAAAAGTCACTTTAGAATGCACCCTATTCTTCTGTACAACCACTAAAGCAGGAGGAAAGCTGCCTTTAGACACCCCCATATCAGAGCCCATACATGCCTCCCGGTTAGTACTGCCCTGCCAAAGTTGCCACCAGCGAAGAGTATAGATCAACTATTTCAAAGCTGTTTTTGTAAAATTGCTTCAATCCTTAGACTTGGTTATTATTCTATTAAACGCATACTTATTTAGCACCTAAATGCAATGCTAAGTGATGAGGATATAAAAATGCAGGACCCACTTCCCCAAGATATCACAGACCCGCAGCGGACGTAGGCAGTAGAATATCACAAAAGTGTCAACAGAAGTAAACACCAGGGGCCCAGTAGCACGCTGGCACTGGAGGGACCGCAGAGAAGATAGGTCCTTGGGGGGGCAGAGGATGAACTCCAGAAGAGACGGCTGAGCTGGTCCTGAAAGACAAGTTGTGCAAATACAGAAGGGAGGGAGAAAGAGCCCAGAGGTGGAGGAGCAGTGAGCCCACACACTGTCCCCAGAAAACAGGAACTATGTTAATATTCTCCTCCTCCTTTAAGATCTGATTAACTCCCTGCTTTTTAATTAATCCCCTCCACTCTAAATATTTCCCAAACATAATCCTCTCCTCGTTATCCCCTCTGTCATTGTTTTGGTCTAAGCCTTCCTAAGCCCTCACCTAAAGTCAGCCATTAGCTTTCCAACTGCCTTCCCTGTTTCTCCCATCCCCTCGCCCTAATCCGCTCCAAGCCCTGTCCCTGAGGGGTCTTCCGTAAAGAGAAGCGGAGTGACTTTTCTCCTCCGCTTAACCTGAGGTTGCGGTGAACAGCCCAAATCCTTCCCTTGGAAGAGAAATGAAGTCCCGGCCCCTCTCCCAGGCTCATCGCTCCCTGCTCCCATCTTTGCCCTTGAGGTTCCACCCCAGTTGCCTCTCTTGCTCCCAAGGTCAGCGTCTAATCCATCCCCAAACCCTGTCGGAACATACCCTCGCTCTGTCTAAGCCATCATCTTCGCCAGCCTGGAACATTCTGCTGGCCTCTTCTCTGGTCTTGCTGTTTCCTCTTTTGCCCTCTACAGTTCAGGCTTCACACAGCAGTAAATAAGCTCACAGCATCTCTCTGATGTTCCATCTTGTTTGGAATCCAAAGTGCTCACATGGGGGCTACAGGACCCCACACACTCTGTCCTCTGGTTCTCTCTTCCTCACCTCTTATATCCAGATCGCATCCTTGGTGTTCCTTTAACGCGGGTGAGAAAGCTTCTCTTCACAAGCTTTGCATGTGCTTCTTCCTCTGTCAGGAATTCCCTTCCTGCCCTCTGCACTGGAATATAAACATCATAAGGGCACTTATTTGCTTTTATCTCTATACCCCTCGCATACAGAACACTTTCAGCACAAACTAGGTGGTCAGAAATATTTAATGAACTAACAAAAAAAGTTGCATGTTTTGCTTTTTTTGTTTGATGCTTTATTCCAGGCAATGTGGGAAAAGTCAGACCTGGTGAGTTTGAATCCCTGACTGTCTTTAACAATGTAACTTTTGGCAAGTCATCTGAACTCTATTTCTATATATACAAAATGGTAACATACTCAGAAATATTATGAGATTAAATCATATGGTGTTAATCTCTTGCTCTTGGAAATCTGAATTGATGCAGTCTGGTGATCCTGTGACATTCGGCAGCATCCTAAAAGCACAGAAATGTGATTTCTCTGTTGAGCCAGATAGAAAGTTTGGATTATTAAATCTACACAGCTGGTTCCAAAAACAATATAACTGAGGTTTCTTATTCTTTAAGAGTTTCATTTTCTTCTAGGAATTTCTTTTTCTTCTAGAAAAAAAAATGAATTTTTTCTTCCAATTCATCTCTACTTTGTAACAAAAATACATTATGAACAATACACCGGTAGGAAAACTACATATTTTTAATATTCTTTCTTGTGTCTTTACCTGACCTTGGCCATTATGCTTTATGCCCCTCAATGGGAAGGAAAGGAGTGCTCATAGACTTTCTTCTCTTGTCACGTGTATTTTACTCATTCACTCCATTCTGATCAACACATATTCAGAAGTTTCTGCAATGAGTAGAGATATGATTGCAGTGATCCTAGGTCCTAGCTTACACCTGTTGTCCCACTGCCATGATTAATAGTGTCCCTTTCACTCTCAAACATGTCTTGGTTTGGACCATAAATTATGTTGTCACCTGACATAGCCCATGTCTAAAGGCACACTGTGACCAGAATAGATTTCTGGGGCCTGTTGCATTTCTTTTCTTTTTGTCTTGCTTTCTTACTTAGATCTGGCAATGGTTTTGAAATAACACTTTCTAAGTGTTCCTTTGCTTATATTGCAAATTGAACTTCAGGGCTTTTTTTTATTCTTATAATATGTGATGTCCCCCATCCTGCTTTCTTCTAAATCTTTTCCCCAATACAACTTTCTCATTAGCTCATTACCTGCAGCAACGTTACATAGAAATAAACCTCATTCAGACAAAGGCTCATGTTTACTGACCTGATTTTTCCCTCTGAGTAACCAATTCCTGACTCTACTAGTCCAGGAATGGTCCACTTGGACTAAGGCATGAAAGTGCACAGAGAGGGTCTCAGAGAACTGGCAAAGAGGGTGGCATATGTGGAAGGCATAGCATTGTGCATCAACTTTCATATTAATACGTCTATTCCAAAAAGAATATGTTAGGTCAGCTTAACAATGATAGGTACACAGACTGTCCAAGCTGAAAGAAGGATTGGATATCAATGACTCCCACCTCACCATCTTAAAGATAGAGGAGAAACACAATGATTAACCACAAACAATTATGCTCTGATGGGAGAGAGGGCTAGATCAGTTAGTGTTGGGATGGCAAATGCTGTTTGCTTGAGTACAACTCCATTCTACAACTCCGTTCCAGTGGCTGCTTAGTTCATATTTTGGAAGGAGCCATGAGGCAGAGTCTGGTCTCAGTCAGAAAGAGAGGCATGGTTGATTAGTGCTGTCTGCCTTGGGCATAGGAAGGAAAAGTGGATGCCCTGAGATCCATGCATTAGCTGACCCTGTTCCAGGGCAAGGGGTTCTGCAGAGAGATTAATGCCATATTAACTGGTGCTAGATCAGCAGGGGCAACTCTCCATTTTATCATTGGCACAGCTATGGCCTCAAAAGGAGAAGTAACTTTACTAAAGTTCTTCAACTTTACTAGTGGCCTGGCCATTAGTAGCCAAGGACCTGGCCCATTAAAAGAGCAAAAAAAAAGAAAGTACAAAGAGAAAGAAAGAATGGCGAGGGCACACTGCCTCTACTTCCCAATTTTGCTGCAGGTTATCTCCCTATATAAGAAAGCAAAAATAAGACGAGGCAAAGCAACAAACAAACATGAAGGAGGCTCATTTTTAATGGGCCAAACAGACATTTCTAAGTTCAAAAGCCATGGGCAACAACCGATAGTCCCTTAATAAGGAAGACTTAACTTAAAACAGCTGGTGACAGCCTTGCGTTGAACACAATCAACATTTTTCCTCCAGGGATGAACATCAGGACCGTACAAGTCAGGCAGCATCCAGGGAATATGTCCTCTGCTTGGAATTTTCTGGGAGGGGTTAGAATGAACGGTAACAGCTGTGAGTGGCTTCAGAGAACTCCCTGCAGTCTTGCTGCTGAATTCAGTTGTGTGACCTGAGTGACTGCATTTCTGTTTAAAAGCAGTTTTGTGCTAGCTTTGCTACTGAACGCAATTAGCCTCGTTCATGAATTTATTTTTGCTGTGTCCCCTGCTTCCTGGAAATAAACCACATCGAGTTACATGCACACGATGGAGGAGGCATTGGGGAATGAACACCTGTACTGTCACTTCTGTCTACCCTCAAGTCTGGTGTTTTGCAAAGCTAACCATCACAAATACAAGGTAGCTTAAAAAGGAAAGGGCGCATGTGATGAAGCATTATGTATACTGCCTGATTTACAGTAAAAAGACCTGTTTGAGGACCATGCTTAGAATCAAGACTTACTTTCCACCAGGTTTAAACACCAGTGTAACTTTTTAGTCTGGCTCAGTAATCCATAGGCATTTTCTAGGCCTCAAAGTGTCTAAAACTGTGTATCTTTAATAAAACACAGTACTGTGTGTCTTTAAAAAGACAACAGGGAGCATCTGCCACATGTCTGGAGCCAGTATTTAGTTAATTCCAAACGAAAGCTCCATTTGAATACTGGAGGTGCCTTTTCAATTATTCAGTGTCTGATGACTCCCCTCAATTAAACTCTTGTTTGAGTGGCACATTGCCCTCTGATGATGTACCTAGCTCCAGGCAAGTGGCAGATGGCTGCCTACTGTCCTCTTAAAGACACCCAGAACCAATGTATTTTTATAGGTCACCACCAATGTCAGAAGCAAAGTCAAGAAATAGGTAGTCCTAGGAGCCCACTTGTGTCTACCCCTGGGATCGTCCAACCCTCTCCTGAACATTCCTACCTTTCTGCTCCACAGGCACCTAAAACTCAGCCTGGCTCTAACTGGGCCATTTATCTCTTCCCTCATCCCCAAACCTGTTCCTGGAGTAATTTTTATGCAGATGAACCATGCCTTCATTTTACCAGTTGGGGGGAAAATTGACTTTCCTATGGCCAGGATCCTCACCCGAAACTACACTACTTGATGGTGTAACCCGCCTACTGCTAGGCTACCGCTTCCATATCTGTAGGCAATGAGCTGTTACTGACTGAGTCACTATATAAAGAGCTCTCCACAGTGCTCTGGGCAGAGGCCCAGATGAAGGAGGGTTACAGACCTGCAGACTGTTAGATGCAGATGTAATTCTAGTGCTCCACCTATGGCTGGGAGAACAAAGCCGGGTAATAAACCCTTCTACCCCAAGAAAGTTCCATTGTCATTCCTCAGTCTCCCTGAATCCATGGTGAACTTGCCTGGGGCTGAAACCCATTGGCAAGACACCAGTCGACTTAATTTGAACTGTCTGAAACTTCCTCCTCCTGTCTCTTAAACCCACAGCCAACTGATCACTGAGTCTTGTTGAGTCTCCCTCTGAAACCTCTCAAATTTTACTCGCACATCTCCGCAATCACTGCCTTGTGCACACCCTGCTTTTTCTCATCTGAGCTGTTGAAGTTACTTCTTTATTGTTCTCCTTAATTCCTCTCTCCTTCCCTCCCATGCATTCTCACACCAGTCTGAGGGACCATCCCAGCCTGCAAGAATCCTTAAATTTATTTTATCTGTACTTTCAATGACTTCAATGTTTCTCAGCAAGTTCAGTGTCCTGAGCAAGACCTTTCACCTCAACCTGCCCCCCACTATTCCTCATCCGTGCCCCATCGTCCACCCCAACATCACTCCCTAACTCTGTACCTGCTGGCCAGCTATTGCACAACTTGAGGCATGTGCATATGCATTATTTCTATTTGGTATGTTTCCCCATTTGAAAAATTCATATTTATCTTTCAAGACACAGATCTTGTGAAGTATTTGTAGACTCCTTTGAGCAGGTTTATTTGTTCTCTCCTGCGGAACCCAAGATCTATGGCCATCCCTCAATCTCACCCTTGAAATTCAAAGCTTTCAAGTCTGTTTTCCCCACTATAGGGTGAGATCCTAAAAATATGGGGCAATATTGAATAGACATTCACATCCCTGGTGAATGGTGCCTTTAGTGCTGTTGAATAAATCTATCAAACATCCATCATTCAACAAATACTCTAAGTGCCTGCCATATGATAGTCATTCAACTCAATACTTGGGACCCAGTGGTGAACAGAAGCAGATACAACCCCTTTCCTTATGAAGCTTGCAGTCAATTGCAGAAACAGATGTTTATCAAGCAAACACAGCAATACCTATACAATTCAAACTGTCCTAAGCATTATGAAGGAAGATTCGTGGCATTGAGAATGAGGTCTGACCTAGCCAGGGAAGTCAGGCAAAGACGTGAGCTGAGCTATGCTCTATGAATAGCTGTTACTTGGATGAAGAGGTGAGGGAAGACCAAGCAGAAGAAACAGTGTGTGCAAAGTCCCTGTGGCAAAGGGCAGTCTGGAAAATACAAGAAACTGAAAGATGGATGTAGTGGCTGGAGTAGAGAGAACAAGGTGAGCTTGTTGGGATATGAGCTGGAGAAGTAGGCAGGGTCCCTAAAAGGCAGCCTCATGATAGGCCTTTAGATGTGATTGTTTATGTTGCTAATTACATCACATAAAATAGAAGGCCTATGTTACTTTGTGGCTTTTTACCTGTTTGGAATATTTATATTTCAACCACAATATGAAATCAGTTTTCATTGATTCTGCTCCTATATGGCATCTGTACATATATAATTTGAAGAGAAACCTGTTCCTTTTAAGAGAAGATAGCGATGTAATTTTGCTCTGTTGTTCAGATTATGTCCGTATTGCTTTTCATTTTAGCCACATTACATTTTTTTAAAAGGTGATTTCACAAGGAGAGCTCTCTCAAATTTTAAATGAGGGGAAACCAAATTAAGCCTTGCTGAAAGATCTTTGTCCTATGTAGCCTCTAAATAGGAATGTCAAGGAAGAAAGGAGAGTTGGGCTTTCACATGAACAGGCAAAGAGGTCCAAAGAAAGAGAAAGAAAAGTCAAACTCTTCCATGCTTATCTGCTCCATCTACTTCTTGCCTATAATGTACATTGTGGGTTAATTCCTGGGAGGTAGAAAAAAAAGATTCATCTTGCATTAAAGTTAAACCTTGTGGAGAACAAGTAAAACTCCAAGCAGATTCCAAAGCAATGTACATGGAAAGAGCAGAAGCCTCCTAAAAATGCTGCACACTGATGTTTGAGCCTCTAGGAGGCCTGAACTCAGAGGCTTTGGACTCACAGAGCTGAAGAGCCAATGAGAAAGAAGTCCAGATTTAAATGGATCGTCCAGTCCTGCAATTAAATTGGGAAAATGAAGCTGTTCCATGCCTTTTGCTCCCTTTGATCCTTGTTATTTTTGTGACTAATGTGTAACTGGAGCTGCTTTCCCAGGCAGGAGCCTCGCGGGGCGGCTGCTGGATAGCGCCAGCCGGTGTCCCGTGGTCAGCCTGCAGGAGCTCAGGGCAGGGAGTGGCGGGCCAGTCCCAGCAAAAAGGAGGCCTGAAGAGATGCGCCGGCACCGACAAGCCTTCCTCTGTTTACAGTTTCTTCTGGCACATTTTTCCATGCACGCTCTCCTTCTCAAGGCCTCTCAGTGGGAACTGGTAGTTTTTTCCTTGACAGGAAGGGATGGGAGCATTTTAGTGACAGTGCAGAAAACTGTCTCAAATCACCAAGATGACTGCTGATGGCTCATTAGTTTAAATTTCTCTCCCTTTGGTACCTCATCCACTTTGATTCCTCACCACTCCCCACCTCCTCTATGTGTGCTACACACACACACACACACACACACACACACACTGAGCATGAGCAGGCACGCACACAGCTGGAAGTTCAGGGGATCCTTCTAGACTAAGGACACTCAGTCACACTGAAAAGAACAATCTATTCACTAACACACCCTTTTTCCCATTTCCCGAGGGGGTTTCCCTTGCTGATTCGATAGAACACCTTCCTGTGACATTCTGTGGCAATACCATTTGGGACTTTGGAAGGATAAAACACAGTGTCACACAATTCAAACAGCACTTTTGTCTTCCCACCTTTACTTCTTGGGTGGGCTCAAAGCTGAGAACTACCACGGGAGGTATTGAGATAGCACGAGACCTTTGCCATGCCCCAAATGTGTCCAGGCGAAGCCTGGGAAGTCTCAGACTTGAGGCTGGGTTTGGGTTCTGAGTCTGGGCCTTGAATGCTCGCTCTCAGCCACGAACTGAGACTGTATGGAGGCCAAGTGACTGGAGAAGCAGCTGTGTGACTCTCTCTGCCTCACTAGAGAAGTGGTCAGCATAGACTAAGCTGACCTCCAGGCCAGCAGTCTGATTAATTAAAGCTGAAGAGTTCATATTAACTCAGTGTTTCTCAAAGTGAGGTTCAGGGAACTCGACCACCAGAAGAGAAGTGTTAGCATTTCAGATTTCCAGACCCTCACTCTGTACCTGTTCAGGGTTTCCAGTCCCTTTAGATTTTTTCCCACAGACGCAGCTGCCCATGTCCCCCACCACCCTCCACATAAAAGGGCCAGACTTGTCTGTTCTACCCGCAGTGCATCTCACCAGCAGAGAACGCACTGGTTGGGGGCTGGCTTCGGGGATAAAGAGCTCTGCCTAGGAACCTGGCCATCCAGCTGGGAGGAGAGAAGGGTGTCAGAGACTGAACTCACCTCTAGAGGGCGCCAGCCCTGATGACTGCAGAGTGCACTTCGCGTTTCTCCTGCCTCTGCAGTTTCTAGCTGGGAAATCCTATGCAAGTTCGTCTTGTGTGCTTCAGTTTTCTCAGGAAAGTGGGTACTGATATTTGTGCCTGCCTCAAAAAAGACATTATTATGACAATTAATTTCTTAGAGTCCTGAGATTGGTGGGAAGATACGGTCCTCAGAGATAGGTGTTGTGAACAGTGGATATGAAGTTACACAAAAGTCTTCCACAAGCTGGGGCTGCATTAGGGAAAGGGAATACCTGGTGTTATTAAATATATTAAGTCAAAATAAGTCAAATACGGTTCATGAGCTCTGAGCTCCCCTCCATCTTATCTCCCACCGTCCTTTTTTTCTCTGTCCCATCAAATGAGGCTTCTTCTGTTCCTCGAATCCAACAAAATTGCTGATCCTCATGAGGAAATGAAGGCTGGAAGTGGATGTTCCGAGGTCAGGAAGATGGCATGCAGGCCTCCTTCCTCTGTCCTGGGCGTGGGACATTGAGCGGTCACTCATATGGCCATTCTTGGCAAAGGGTGGGATGAAGTGGGGAGAGGCAAGACGGAAGCGTTCCTTCCAGCAGATGCTCAAGACCCAAGGGAGGCCATGAGTGGAACAATGAGGGCTTAACTCTGGCTAGGCACACGCGGCTTACGCCCAACTCTGCTACAGACCAATTATATGAACTTAGTTCATATTCTGAAACTCTAAGCCTGTTTTCTCGTCTTTAAAATGATCCTAAATAATATCTACCTTATAATTGTTACGAGGAGTAACAGAGATAAGACATGTGAAGCAAAAACACTGTCTTGTGCAGGTAAGTGTTCTTCCCGTATGAATTATTGTGATTGGGTTTTAAGGGCCACATTCCTCAGCATATGGCTTTAGGGTCAGGGCAAGGCCTCTCTCTTGATTTATTTTATGTTTTCCTGTTTGTTCCCCTTTCTGACTTTTACTCCCCTCTCTCCCTTCTCCTCCTTCCTGGGATTTCATATATATCCTTAGATTTTTATGTGTGTTTGAAAACCAAAGCTTTATTTTGGGTGTATGTTAAATTTTAATATCCTTGAATGGTATTGTGCCATAAATCGTTTTCTATCTTTTGCACTCAACACTGAGATTTTTAGAGCTATCCATATTACTGTTTGCCAATGCTTCTCAATTTTATTATATAACAAAATCACTTGGGGAGCTTTTGAAAAATACCAATATCTGGATCTCAAATCCAGCGATTCTGATTTAATTTTTCTAGGGTAGGAGCCGAACCTCAGGTCATTCTCAAGGGCAGCCAAGAGTCAGAACCACTGCTGCCTATAAAGCCAGCTCGCTGGCCAGGACTTCTCAGGCAGTGAGGGGACCATGGTCCCACTTTTTCTGGCCTCAGCAAGTCCCAACAGTAAAATCAAGTAATAATGACCCTAAAGGTAGTGGCAACAGGGAAAAGAGGAGAGGAAAAGGGCAACTTGCAGCCTAAAAGGTATATCAGGAAGGGTAGAATCAGCCCTACATCTCACCATCTTTGTAGGAATCATAAAGTGATATGTGGTTGATTGGTCTGTTGCATGCAGCGCATGCAACAAGATGGCAGGGAGCCCAGCTTTTGAAATATTGTGTTGCATATGGCCCCCAGAACACCAGAACAGTGTTCACGCATCGTATTTTCTCTTGGAAGGCCCAACAGCACTCACAAATGGTTATTCCAATCACCATCACTGAAACAGCTATTAGCTGGGTGCTACATTCTTTCCATACATGAAGTATTCCAGAGAATAACCTCTTACCTGGCATTACTTGGCACTAAGAGTTAGTTGGCTCATTGGAAAAGACATGGCTAAATCTGGGAATCATTAAAAAGGGATGCATACATATGTTAAGCATTTTATTTTAACCTAAAACACATCAATGCACATTCATGAACCAGATTTTTGATGTAGAGCCAAGGCATTTCTTTGCCTTGAAGTTCTCTGATTGGAGTTCCAACATTATCTTTAACATCAACTACACCCATTACATACATTTTAGGATTTCTAGTTTCTATTTTCTTATGGTAGAGCAGAACATAATTGCTCTTCTAAAGAAGCCTAGGAGCAAAATTCCATTTAAAAAATATATTTCAGGAATTTGTCATTGAAATTTTAAGTGTATAGACAAGTTGAAAGCATGGCATAATAAACACCAAAATATCCACTGCCTAGATTTAAAACTTGTTAATTTATTGTCATATTTGCCTTACTTTTCATAATATATTTAGATCTATGTCTACATCCATTTATCTATTATCTCTCTATATTTATTTTTGCCAAATATTTAAAATTAAATTGCAGACAATATAATACTTCCCCCTAAATACACAGCATGAACCTCCTGAGGATGAGAACATGGTGCTATATCATTTCGCACTGTGAGAAATACTGATAACTTCATACTAACATCTGATATCCAGCCTTCAAATTTCCCTAGCTTCACAAGATTGTCACATGAAGGTTGTTTTTTTTTCAACCAACATCAAGTCCTGGTTCATCCACTGCATTTGGTGTTTTATTTTTTGCCTCTCCTTTGTTTTGCTATGCTTCTTTCCTCCTTGATAGAAACTTTTTAAAGAATTCAGGCCGTTTTTTCCCATATCTGATATTCTGGATTTATCTGAGGGTTTGTTGATGGTATCATGTCTTCTCATTACCTTGCATTATTATAAAATGGAAGTTAGGTTTAAAAGCTTGAATAGATTCAGATTGAATATTTTGAGCATGAGTCTTCACCAGTGCAGCTGTGTACTTCATATGGCATCATATCTTCTGCAGGCATTTTTAGTAAACAGATGTAAGCGTTTATCTTGGGTACATACCTGGAAGTGGAATTGCTAAGGGTATATATACAACTGTTGAGTTTTACCTAGTGGTTATACTAGTTTACAACTCCTAACTTCTAATGGCTTTGCATCTTCATCATTTAAAATTGTCATTCTAGTAGATTTGTGATGGTATTGGATTGTGATTTTAATTTGCTGTCCTCTGCTGATCATGAGAACTTCTTCATATGCGTATTGATTATTTACATATGAAATGCTTAATTCTTTTACCCATGTTTAATTTGGCTTGTTGTATTTAAAAAATGATTTGTAAATTTGGATACTAATCCTTTATTAGTTGTACATATTTAAAACATCTCCCACTCTGTGGTTTGCATTTACCCTCCCTGAATGGTGCCCTTAGAGGAACATAAGTTCTTAACTTTAATATATTCCAGTTTATCAGCCAATTCCATTACATTTATGATTTTATATCCTGTTTCAGTAATCTCTGTTTACCCCAAGATCATGAATATATTCTCTATGTTATCACAGAGAAACTTTTTAAAATGCATTTTCTATCACATTAAGATGCACAGTCCATCTGGAATTAATTTTTTTGAGTATGGTGTGACACCATAATATAATTTTGCCACTTGATCAGAACATTTTATTGAAAAGATCTTCCTCTTTCCACTGCTTTACTATTCCCCTTGTCATAAATCAAGTATTCATATGTGCTTGGGTTTCTATCTGGATTTTATTTTGCTCCACTGTTTTGACCATTCTTGTGCCAATAATACCATGATGTTTTAATTACTATAGCTATATAGCTCTTAATATCCAGTAGTATATAAGATTCAAACTTGTTCTTCCTCCTCAAGATTGCCTTTGTTACTGGGAGGCTTTTACATTTATGTATCAATTTTAAAAATTAACTTGGTAATATCCAAAATATGCTACTAGACCTTGATTAAGATTGTACTGAATCTATAGAGCAATTTGGGGAGAAACCATGTGGTATATTTATCTCTTTATTTAAATCTTAATATTTAATTTCTCTTAATGTTTTGTAGTTTGTTTAAATTACTAATTGTAACTTGTTATTTGTATATTATTTTGTATTTTCTACATACACAATCATATCATGCATGAATAACAGTAATTTCCTCCTTTCCATTTCTTAATCATTTATTCCTTTTTCTTGCCTTATTGCAAATGCTAGGTCTACCAATACAATGCTGAATGGTGGTAATATAATAGTGATATACAGTGGTGATCTCCAGCATTTCTTCCTCAATCCCAAACCTAGGAAGAAAGTTTTTTAAAGTTTATCATTACATATAAAGCTTACTATAAGTCTGTATCGATATTTATCAAATTAAGGAAGTTCTATTTCTAATTTTACCATGATTGTTTTAAGTCTTGTATGGATTTTTGAATTTTATCAAATATTTTTCTACATTTATCGATATGATTATCTACCTGATTTCTCTTCTCTTTTCTATTAATGTACTGAATTATGTTGGTGATTTTCTAAAGTTAATCTTTGTTGTATTTTGTTGGGGAAAAAAACCTGACGTCATGACATATACCTTTTCAAATATATCTTGCTTGTGCATATTTTAAGATATCATCATGTATATTCATGAAAAAGATTGAATTCTCTCTGTAATATCCTTGTCAGCTATCAAGGTTTGCAGGCCTAATCAAAGCTGAGAAGTATCCCTTCTGCTATGATTCTCTGAGAAAGTTTATCTAAGATTAATGTTATTTCTTCCTGAAGTGTTTGGAAGAACTCATCAGTAAAAATCTCTGTACCTGGACTTTTCTTCATAGGAAGATGTAAATTATGAATTTATTCTTTTTAATAGCTATAGAATTCTTTAAATCTTTTTACCTTCTTGTGTTTTTCCAAGAATTTGTCCATTTTATCTCAGTTGACAAATTAATCAATAAAAAAATATTTACGATGACCTATAACTATCTTTTTAATGTCTGTTCCCTTCTTTATACTGGTTATTTGTACTTTCTTTCTCTTTTAATTATTTTCTTTTAGGGGTTATCAATTCTATTAACAGGAAACAAAATTTGGTTTTGCTGATTATTTTCTTTTGAATGTTTATTCTATTTCATTAATTTCTTCCCTTATCTTTATTATTTCCTTCCTTCTACTTTCTTTGGATTTAATTTGTTGGTCTTTTACACCCTTTTTGACAGATATTCAACCATTGATTTTTGTTTTTTCTTATTTTATAGTATATGTATTTGAGTCTCTAACTTTCCTGTCTTCTCCACTTTATCAACATCCCATGTTTTGTTTTCTTAAAGAGAAGTTTAGGGAGTACTTTTCATGGTGAAAATGTTCTCAGAGCTTTACTTCCCAAG